AATAGAAGCAATGATTTACATATAATAAAGTTCAGTTTTCTTATGAAAATATTGACTATTGCATCGATGAAAGAAATTTTAAATTTAATTCACATTCAATGCTTATGTTTCAACTCTATCAAACTTGAAAAAAAATTTAAAGATTAGAAAATAAAAATAAAAATAGTGGCAATATAATATCATATAATGCATACAAAAATAGAATCTTGTAAGAGAAAAAAGTTTGTCCTTTTTTAAAACATTAAAAAAACATGCAAAAAATTATCCCTAATTATAAAATATCTATTAGCGTTTAGGCTTTAGGTTATCAACTTTTGATTTTTCACTTTTATTTGAGGTCACGACACTCAAGAATAATAATAGTCATTTCCGAATCTTAATTTCAACATCGTTTTGTTTTTTTCTTCTTTGTTACACTCCGATATTCAATCTGAATAAGATACTGAAAAGAGTAGAAGAGCAGAATTCGATATCACGAACGTTACAAACACATGTTTTAGCCATGTATATGCAATCATTTGTGTATGACTGTTGCTTGCCTTACCGTAGTCCTGCGTGGAATGAACAAATATTCCAGTGACACTCAAATATTCTCCTCCTTTATTAAATTTTAACCTTCATACCTTTGCACTCATCTTAAAAGAAGTGTCGTTAGAATTTTCTGAAATCACATGATGACATCAGACTTTGTGTTAATGAAGAAGGGAAATCCATGTCTACTATTATCATCTCTCAGAATAGCTTCTTGGCACCAACCAAGAAGCTAACACACAGTGGTCAGCGAGCAAGCCGGGTGTCTACTTCCAAATTTATATAGATATGGGTCTCGCTCATTGCTTCTTGATTCCAATTGGTTCTGATTTGGAATTTGACGTTGCTTAATTACTGTGGTTCTGATTTGGAGTTTGATGTTGCGTAATTACTGTGGTTCTGATTTGAAGTTCGATGTGTCCATACTTCGCAAAGCAAATTAGCTGGTTTTCTGTAGATCAGAAGGTATTCCCTTCTCAAGCTTGTTTCCGGGCACTTTTGATTATGGACATGAGATTAATTTGGCCCATGACTATGATACCATACGAAGAGAGTACTTGACGAACTATGAATTTATAGTCATACTGGCAGTTGTATCTTGTTCAATAATCTCAATGTGAAAGGTAAGACTATGTTGTATTACTATGTCTTCCACAACCATGAAAACAACAATAACAAATGAGGTCATATATTATATACAAATAAAACTATACAATCCTCGTTGATATGAATATGTTATGTGTGCTTGTTCATTTATTGGGATTTTTCTCAATTATGAAAATCTACATTTAGAGATAAATTACATATCAAACTAATGGATTCTAGATAATGAAATCAACTATGGCCCTTGCAATACATAGGTTTAAAAAAACACTAAATTGTGAAACTAACAATGAAGTACATATTATGGGACTAATATAATAAATAGTTTAGCTTCGATCTATCCACGTGGTTGTTGAAATATGAAAATCTTATATCATGATAATTCATTTACAACTTTAAATGTCTAGGATTGACATTTATTTGCACAGAAACATAAATTTTTATTAACTTGCAATTTTTTAAAAAAAATTTAAATAATATTTTCAATATCGTGAGATAATTGTTCACTAAATATTAATGAAAAGGTGGTTGATAATATTGAAACCTTTGTACACCTTATCAAATTTTTATGTCCGGTAGGAATAGAAGAAATAATCAATAATTTCATCATAGAAAATTTATGATTTCAATATCGTCAATTATCTTTTCTAAAATCAGAGACTACCGTACCCTTGACCGGGACATGAGATTCGATTGAATGAATATAATCATTCTCTATCATCAAGAATGAATTTAATGACGCAAAGCTTCTTTTATGAACATATGCTATTAAAGTTTCAAGGTCCGAAGAATATCACATTTCCATCGAGTAGGACTATCCAAATGGAAATAAAGAAGTAAGAAATGATACATTATAAATCGTGCAACAAAGAATCAGAATGTAGGCAGGTGTATCACAAGTGCAATTATGCCTCGATCTGATGTCTAGGAGAGTGTCTATTCGATGTATTGTCTACGCAGATAGAACGATGATGTCTTATCGAGCCAGAGCTAGTGAGCGCTGGACATCCCTGACACGAGTATCCAGTCTGAGAGCAGAATATGCATCAAGCTCAGAATATGCATAATAGCCTCCTGTTAGATCTTGCCATCATCCAGTGAGGATGTGGCGAAAGCAGGTCAAATATATTCGTAAAGCATTATTCTTCTAGGTTGAGGGGCCAAGTAAGGAGATTATGCTTACGCTGCAATGCTGCATAAGTCGAGATGACGCAGGCAACTCACAGAACATGATTCACGTGCCACTGGACTTAACCAAGCTGACTACACCAAGATGAGCAGAGTACTATCAGGATGCAGTAGTAGCTGATTCGTTGGACAGGCAATCAGGTCCGAACGTAGGAGAAAAATAATTCCGGATCCCGAGGACTCATTATGCGACTTCGGAGGACCCCTGACAATCAAAATTATTTACTACTCCCTCGCTGGGCATGTAATTATGCTTATCGATAGATTATGGTAAGCTTTGGAAATTTCTGCTTTTACTACAATATTTGGGACAAAGTATACATCGGAAATTTTTATTTTACTTATGTAAATGTATGTATTGAAAAATGAATGATGACTACAAGCAGAAAATATGTATTGATTAAAATTCAAGAACATGTATTTCATCTATATTCATATATATATACTAGTTTCGGCAACAAGTAACATATTTGATTGACCAATAGTAAATACTCGTTATTTTTTGAAAATTGATACAATCATGAAGGTTCCCAGTTAGAAATGTAATAAATTTTGGTTTATTACTAAAAAATATATTTTTGCACAAGACATATTTTTAAATGGAAAATATTATCTAATAGAATTTTTTGAATGACATAATTATTACAATTTACATTCTATTAATAAACTGTAAAAAATAAATCATAAGCGATGAAACTAAATATCTGAACGATACTTCAGACGTGAATCTATAAATCTTAAATGGTTTATATGGTGGAACGTATTCACTCTTGAAATGCATATTGAACAAAAATAGACTTAGACATCAAAGTGAATCGAAATCACCTGGATATTTATTTTTGATGAATCAACTTGATTCACAAAAAATTAAGATCATGCAATAAATAATATATGGCAAGTTATCATTTACAATAATGCATCAAAAAAAATTCAAAAACTATTCGGCCAAATCGGCACAAATTGGGTTTTAAATCTTAAACCTGAATGCTTCTGTATTTTATAATTTCTTCTTATTTTAGATAGTGCGAACATCAAAGTTGAGGTGCATTTTTAAAGATAAAGTTTTTGTTTAAAGAGAAAAAAGTTTGATGGATCCTATTGTACGATCACATCTTTAGAGATTTAAACTTTATAGTTTATGTCAAGTTACTTCCCATCTACAATTTCAAAATGTACATGTCAATACATGTACATTTTAGACATTTGAAGGTAATTTAAAAGTGGGATGCAAAATCTAGAAGAACATAAGAATCTTATGAAAATTTTAGGTATGATTTTTTTGGGAATTTTATGAAACATAGTATTGTAAAAAATCTATCGAGTCACAAGTTACAAGTTAGTGTAGAAGATTTGTGTTTAGTTTCACTTTTATCTTCACTTCATTGTAAATGATAACTTTTGATGGTTGCAACTCACCTCTACTCTGAAATCAGATTAGTTGCGAACAGTGTATCCAATTTTCTCTCTTGAAGAAAGTCCGTAAATTGTTCCATAAAGACAATGACCTTTTTTCTCATTACAGTAATATTCTCTGGAAGATGTTCCCTTGTGTGAATGTGGACGCACCTTCCCTCTAAATTCAGATTAGTTGCGAACAGTGTATCCAATTTTCTCTCGTAAAGAAAGTCCGTAAATTGCTCCGTAAAGGCAATGAACTTTCTTCCCATTAGAGGAATATTATCTGCAAGATATTCTCATGTGGGAATGTGGCCTCACCTCCGCTCTAACATCAGATTAGTTCTTAACAGTGTATCCAATTTTCGATCGTAAAGAAAGTCCGTAAATTGTTTAGTAAGGACAATGAATTTTTTCTCATTATAGTAATATTATCTGGAAGATAAATCTCATGTGCGAATGTGGACCTCTCTTTCGCTTCAATAGGGGACTGAAATACCAACTTGACAATGATTACGTAGGATATCCGGACGCTCTGAGGCAATACGTGCATTCAGGACAAATATGGAAAAAGTTATGAGCTTTCGAGTCTTCCTTTACCTGCCTCCGTCCCTGACGAACTGTCTCTTGTGAGAGAGGAGGCATTGGCAACTCAACACTCCCATAATGCAGGTCTACGTGAAATGGGTTCCTGTGGTCTGAATCTCGGAGCAGTTGGAGTAGGTTTCAAGCACGTGTTCGATTCTGCAGTTTACAGAGTTCTCCTCTTGCACCAGAAGCTAAAATATCCTAGATTTGTGAAGCTTTTTGGACAGAGAATTAGTTTTCAAATGATTGACACTAAACGGACCTTTGGAAAAGGAATGACGAGGAGGCTGAATTCATCGCAATCTGTAACGGTTGACTGATTGGCTTAGGTGCAGAAGGGCTAGAGGATATAGATACGACTGCAACGTTTGACACGCATCAGCTCGGGTTTAGACCTCCATGAGCACGTGTTCATCAATCTACGTATTTAACATGACATATGGCTCTTATGGTATTCCACGAACATCAATTCATCGACATTGTCACGACGACTTCGATAGGGAAATATGAAACACAGAAATCAATCACTAAACATCAGAGCCCAACATTGGGTGCCCATGGGTTTTAAGTGACATTATTTTTCCATGGGTGGCACAAGTTATGCTATTGGCAGTGTTTGTCATAATGCTATTGGCAGTGTTTGTCATATCCAACCAAGAATCGGTGTAACCGGGTAATACATATGACACAATTGGGTTTATTTGAATAGCATGGGTGGGCACAGGTAATGCAATGGGTGGGAATAGGTCGCTGCTGAATGGTCCGTTCAGGGTACATATTTGAAGTAAAATGTTGGCCTCTGCTAAACATGCAATTCCCGAAGAGCCACAGTGCTTTGTAACGATCCATAAAATCGCAAATGTATGGCTCTTGAGACTTCTTCAGTTGCATGGTTCTACATCTAGGTAACTCTCTCGATGTACTGGATCTTGTACTTCACCAGCCCGGCACGATTGAATGTTTGACACGCATCAGCTCGGGTTTCGACCTCCATGAGCACGTGTTCATCAATCTACGTAATTAACATGACATATGGCTCTTATAGGATTCCACAAACATCAATTCATCCACATTCGATTGGGTAATATGAAACACAGAAATCAATCACAAAACATGCAATTCCCGAAGAGCCACAGTGCTTTGTAACCATCCTTAAACTCGCAAATGAATGGCCTTTGACCCTTTCCCAGTTGCATGGCTCTATATCTAAGTAACTTTCTCGATGTACTGGATCTTGTACTTCACCAGCCCGGTACCAGTCGAAGAGTGATTGATCTCTCCTGATTAAGATAATTTCGTTATGATTTTGGTTGATTTCTCTCGACTGCTCGTACGATAACTGCGACGCGTACAGAAAACAGTTGCAGAAACTCGACGCTGCACGGTCGTGGTATATTGTGTGACTGTACTACTGACGAAGGTGAGGCTCTCAAGATGTCTCGCTGAACTCTCGCCTCACTTCTCATCATCAGCGAAGTCGTGACGCGGCTGATTGACGCCTCTGCCACACAGGTATTCATGTACCAGCCGCTGTCATCTGGTTTCTGGGTATATCCCAGTCACACCGAGCCCTTTATAAAGTCTGGTGTATGGTGTAAAGTACAACCTCTGCGCGGAGTAAGTGTACGAGAATGGATATTGAAAAGCGCTCACAAGATTCAGAACAATCTTTGCAAGTACTAGAAAGGTATCTAGAATACACATGCTACTCTACATACGAGATGGAAAGGTCGTTATGTTTTGACACAAACCGGCTCACCTCTTTTTCAGCCTTGCCAAAAGTTGTACCGATACGAAGTATCTTTGCTGCCTTTCCGCGGCCTTGTCGCATCTAATGCTGGCACACATTTTTTTTATTGGTAGCAAGTTTAGACTGTCACAATTCTTGCTGTGCATTTCCCGGATTCCATCGTGTTTGCCCATTATTTTGCGGTAATTTTCACTTTACTGTGTAAAATACATGACATTATATGGTGGTTAATAACTTTTCACATTCAGAGATAATCAAGATTACAAGTACACAACTCTCTTTCATACATAGTCTTTCATTGCATTCTAAGAAAACATTGAAGAAACTTATTGAACAAGTTACTGCTACAACTTTCTCATTATAAGTAAGAACTTAAATTTTAAATATGGATTATCTTTTTAAATGTGCTATCTTTAGTTAAGAAATCATTAACGCCGTCAACGTTGCACTTGACTTAACCTTAATAATGCAATAATCCATATGATCAAAACTATAACACGGTTGCAGATAAGTTTTGTAACCCTTTACTTCTGTCGACGATAGTTTTTCTCATTCCAAAAATATACTTGTGGAATTCTTTAGATCATAGGCCTTAGAAACATTAGGTTACGAATTAATCCCATGGAAGTTGCTTTGAGTTGCATTAGAAAAATTTCTTTGTTCCCAATTTCTTATAGTCAAAAATGTTACATCTAATATTGCTCATTCCAGGTCAACACATAGAGATTCTTATCAACATTGGCTTTTCACATCCTTTCTTTTTTTGTTAGTAATCTCTAGACTTGAAATATTTTTTTGAAGTCAAGGAAAAATATGAATGAGGTTGTCAGAATAAATTATTGAAGAGAACTTGCAAACACTCAAGGGACCAAGAACGTGTCTACTATCACTGGAATCTAGTGCAAATTTCTAAACAGCTCGATGGGTAAGTTCAAAATTGTCTTTATGCAGTTGCAACTTGTGATATGGTATAATTCACACACACATTCAGTGGATCTTCTTAGAGATAGCATTTATTTTCAAATTCAATTCAACTTTCTGGAAGCTCACGGAGTTGATGATGAAGGATGATTTTGTGAAATTATGTGAAGATAGAATGAATTTTTATTTTACAAAATATCTTATGAATTTTGAAGTAAAAAGTTTTGAAGTTTTTTGAAGTTTTAGAGTACAAAGAGCTACGTAGATGTCACATATAGAGCAAGACAGTAATTATAGAGACGAGCAATTTCAAGAATGTGAAATAAAAGACATGCTGAAATTTTTTAATTTTTTGACAAATCAGAGATAACTATTTTTCAAAAAAAATTTAAAAGGATATTTATGTAAACATATATTATAAAAATATATGTAAATATTATGGTGTTATTTATTAACCACTCGGCTACTCTCCCTATGATTAGTAAGCTTCTACTTTCCAGTGCCACGGGACACTGGTGAAAAATAGATAAACTCATGTAAATATCTTATTATATAAGAAATATTTATAATTAAATAATTTTTGGTTTTTAAAATATCAAAATTATTATTATCAAAATGAATTATCAAATTAATTTTGGATTTTTTTCAAAGTAATAATATTTTAGACGAAGAAAAATGTGATAAATATACAAGATCCCACTCAGAATCTTGACGATCTTGTTATAAATTTGCAGATATTGTGTGAGGGTTTTAGTATTGAGAAAAAAGTACTATCTCTTGGCTTTCATTCTTATGTTCTACTTGTCTTCTTCACAAATAATTTTTTATCTTGAAAAAGTAATCATCACCTACAATGAGATTAATCTGTGTTCAATGGACAGATGAGTTTTAACAAAGTACATTTTAATTTCATAAATTTGAATTTATTGAATATAACGTTAAATCTAAGTTGTGAATTGAAATAAAAGAAAATAAATGATGAAAAAAAAACTAAACTAAATATATGGTAAATGGTAAATGGTAAATAGATCAAGCCCGTGGGACCCAAAGGGTCAAAAGGCTAAAAAATACAATACAAACAATCCAACTCCAAACTAGGGGAGAACCAAAAGAACCCCCTAGCTAGTGCCCAAAGCACTAGAATGGTAACTAATAATATCTCTAATGTAACAACCTAAATCATAAGGCTCGAGTTGAAGCAGAGAAAAGAAATTCTCGACATCAACTTTATGCGCCACTCGAATCCCTATATATCTAGTACAAGTAATAAACACATGCTCTTCATCCTCAACATTTCTCCCATCACATAGCCTACAAATCCGTTCACTCCTATCAATATTCAACCAACGTCCTTCCTCAATTCCAAGCCTATGAGATCCTGTTCTATGCCTGGCAATAATATGACGTAAAGATGTAGCAATCTCTGCAACAAGGTACCCTTGCTCACAATAAATAAGCATAGGATTCACATGAAGTTGATAAAACTGCATTTTAGTGCCTCCTCTCCTCCAAATGATGTTGAGAAACTCCTCCTTAATACGCTCGCGAAGTGCCATAGGTTGCAGATCCCAATCCAATTCCGTCACATTCCACCTCAAAGACCAAGTCATCACATCTGCAAACCATCCCTTGGAACGTGTGGTACGCAAAGCATGAAGAGGAAGTCAAGAAGCATCAAGAGATCTCACCCTTCTAATATAAGTGATGGTCAAGTAGAGAGCTTCAGCCTCAAGAGGTAGACAACCGGTTTCCGCAAGAAGAATAGCATGAGGAGTTTGGTTCCTTACACCTAACTCTTCTTGTAAGAAGATCTTTTGCACCCTCTCCACACGCTCCCAACTTGTCTTCTTATTGCCAGGACCCCACACTTGTGTCCCATATAGAACCACCGGCAACACTAAACTCCTAAATAAAAATTTCCTAAGACTCCAAGATACTAGATGAGCTCTTCTACATCGATTTAACAATGAATATAGAGCTTTGTAACCAGCTTCTACTCTCTTTTGTACACAAAGTGCCCAACTATAATTCTGAGAAAAATCAATGCCTAAATATTTGTAACTCTTCACTTGTTCCAATTCTAGTCCCTTGTAAAAGAGAGAGAACTTGGATCTAGTGCCCACAAGAATGATCTTTGATTTTTCCAGATTGACCTCCATCTGATTTCGAGTACAAAAGCTAGCCAAAGTATCAAGGTGTTTCTGTAAACTAATTGCATCACGTGCTAGTAATATGATATCATCTGCATACAAAAGAGCTTTGATCACAAAGTCTCCAAGTTTAACTCCTTCACTCTCACAATCATCCAACCACCTTTCTATATCATCTATGAATATTCCGAATAGAGTAGGAGAGAGAGGACAACCTTGAATAACTCCAATGGTGCTCGAGATCTCTTGAGGCTGAGAGGCATCAAACTTAGCTCGAACTGAAGTGTATAAAGTGGCCACAGCTCCGAGTAGATTAGCCGGTACTCCAATGTCTTGTAGTCTTTCCCATAAAAGCTTTTGAGGAACAGTATCAAAAGCTTTCTTCAAATCGATGAAGGCACAAAATAAAGCTTTCCCATTGCCCTTGGATTTCTCCCATAAAACACGTAAGGCCAAAATATGGTCAATAGTGTTGTATGTAGGACAAAAACCGGCTTGGGCCTTTGCTCTCTTCTGAAAATCCTCTGTCCATGTGCTCAACTTCGATTCTACCAACTTCCCAAACAACTTGGCAAAAACACTACCAACCATGATGGTGCAATAGTTTGTCACCACGTACTTCCTTCCTGATTTATGAATAGGAACAATCTTCCGCATGGACCAAGTTGATGGAAAACCATGAACCACAGCATCTTCCAAAAGCTTAGTGAGAACCGATCCAATACAATCTCCTCCCCACTTGATAAGTTCAATGGACAAGCCATCTAAATCCTCACATTTGCCATTTGCTAATTTTCGGAGAATAGTCATCACCTCTACTTCCGAAAATGATCCAGGTGTTGCTTTGCAATATGGCATAGATGTGGCTTCTGGAAAGAAATAGAGCTTTTCGGCAAAAGCTACCAAAGACTCGGAATCAAGAGAAGGTTTTGACGATGGTGTAGCTAATCGTCTCCAAAAGGACTTGGGATCCTTCATCAGGTCCTTTGTCAAGGATTCTTGCTTTCGTCTTAAGAAAGCTCGTTTCTTAGACTTCACCAAGTCTTTGTATATCCTTGTCAAAAGAAGCCGACTTTGAATATCCAAAGACCTATCAACAGACCTTGCCCTTGCTAGCTTGCATTCGGAGTCAAACCATCCATTGCAAGGTAGCCCCTTAGCAATCCTAGTACTATGCCTCAAAAAGAACTTCGATGCAGAAGTTTTGAGCAATTCTATGAGCTGTAAACTAGCGGTATGCGAATCTGGACTCCATATGGTGTGAGTCAAAAGATCTAGATGTGGCTAGAAGAAATGATAACTTATAAATAATATGTATATTCAAAATTAATCACATCAATGGAAAAAGCATGTACATTTATCACGACAAAGTTTAAATCTTAAGTACAATTTAGTTGCTCAGTCTTTATAAGCATTTTGAAATACAACATCAGATTGCTTCCAGCATTAGAATTTATAGTTTCAAGGAGATTCATGAATATATATAGTTACATGTGATATTCATACTACAGTTTCTCAAATTTTTGAAAATTTGTTTGATACACTTTATTATTGACTATTTGAAATTTATAACAATTTCCTTTTTACATTAAATATCTTAAATTTTTGTCATCTCTAATAAATAAAAGATCTAACTTGAAACTTAGATTGGCAAGATAATAAGACTTTCACTATAAAACAACAAGGATGAACAAACCTATGAAATATTTAAATTTGATTGTTAATAAAAGAGATCACCATGCCACATCACTATATGATATACTTCAGAGCATAATTTTATTGTTGAA